TCAAATACAATCTTTCCTTGGAAATGCGTTTCTTTCTATTGTTTTATGGGGATTTTAACAAAACGTAGTTTTAGGCGAAATTTGGTGTCGTGTCCGATGGCTCGGTTTGCGACTGTGTCAGACGGCGTGTAGGAGGGCTAACATTTTTTCTCAAGCAATCTGTCCTACTTTCGTTGCTCGAGAACTCATTTTTCATACTCTCTGAGCCAAAGTGTTCAACCGTTAGAAACTTCTAGTAAGAGTAAAAGGAATGATACATCAATGTTCTGACATATAAGTCACACTCGCTATACATTTCATTGCAGGAGATCCGGTCTGATATAAACACAGTATAAAGAAAAAAAAGACGAAAATATATCGTTCATTAATATCAAGATATTAATGGATAATAAATAAATCTTGCAGCTACAGTTATTGAGATTTCTTCAGTTAAATTAAATTACGTTTTGATCATCCAGTTCATGGAAATCTATAAGATTTAAACATAACCTTAACTTATTTCTCCTAATATTATCTCTGTAGTAAACAATTTTCTTCCTCTGTTTGCGGGAAATATACTCGTTGAGTTAATATATTTCCTATAAATAGGACAAAGAACGTTACAATGATAGCTCACCGACACCTGATTGAAAATATACTCCTACATTAACCAATTTACAAAAGAACAGTAATGGAACACACTCCTTACTTCGTCTCACATCTCACATTCATAAAGGTTAGGGCATTTGAAAAATGTGCATATTATGAAAGCATGCTTTACAAGATGCATAAAATGTCTTAAAATTTGTAAATTTAGTAACACAAATTATGGTTTTGTATTCATTTAGTGGATTTCACACAGCCTGACATTTATTCGAGTGCGTAAAATTGTCGACCGCTTTTGTGGTCTAGTGGTCAGAATTCTTGGCTACAGATCCAGAGGTCCCGGGTTCAATTCCCGCGCTACTAGATTTTCTGAGAAGTAGAGGGTCTGTAACGGGGTCCACATAGCCTCGTGAGACTAATTGAGGAGCTATTTCAAGGAAATAGCGGCTCCGGTTTAGTAAACCAAGATTAACGGCCGTGGGGATCCGTTGCGCTGACCACGTGAGACCCTCTATCCGCAAATGTTGGCACAAACTTTGCCGAAAAGTGGCGGTTTCTTGGTCGGTATAGTTCGATTGCGGACTACAGGCCACGGAGTTTTTTCTGTAAAATTGTCAGTCGTAATTTGCCGGTTTGTCAGGGTTTATAAATTGTCACTTATTTTAATCAATCGGCAATAGTTATATAGATATATACACGTATATATATATATATAGTCCATTGATTGAAGTTATCTCTTTCTAACGGACCTATCAGTGTAAGTACCTCCCACCTCACCTGAGGAAGGAAACAGGTCTGTTTTCCGAAACGTTGTTTTCTCTAGGTTTGTAGAATATCGGGCGAATGACAAAGTCTGAAAACCTAGTAATTCGAAATGTTATGCACCATCGTAAGATCTATTTAGAATCTAGTTTATATGTTCCTTTCACCAAAGTAAATGTTGGTCACAGAACACAATATCGTAAACTAAAATATTCAAAATGTTCTAGATTAAATTAAGAAAACAATTTATGGCATGATTTTGTAATATATATCAGGTATCAGCCCTTCGAAAATTTGTCGCTGGATTATTATAGATATTATAATTTTATATCAATAGATATTCTGCATAGCTAAGGGGGATAGTAAAGGTTTAACATCAACCATGACTTCTAGAAGTTTTCCAAAGTATATCTAAGATGTTCGGTTTTATAGGTTATAAAATGAATTATACTGCCAGTACACGAGATAAGCGGGTAAAGTTGCCCCTGTGATAGAGCACTACGCCATTAAGAAATACGGGCGAATTCGAATTAAGCTTCACGAATTCACAGCTTCGGCAATATATCGAATCTCGGTGGTTAACACAGTTGGTCTGGACTCAGGGCCAAACAGGTATATTCCCTCATCTGTCAGAAAAAAAAAATTCGTTCAGCCAGTAGTCAGTCACTTTACTAACTGAGCTATCCCCACTCTTAATAGCATTCTCTTCGAAAATCCCTTAGACGCCTAGCACAGAACACCTGACTTTCAAGATTAATGTATTTCCGAGAAGGAGAATCGGCTCACGAATATGAACTTCTTACGGAGAAGGCAAGGATGCGTGGCCACATCGAGGAACATTTTCAGCATCTGCCGTAATCTGGCTGGATGTTGCTTGTGATTTGTTGCCCTGTGAGCTTGTCGCTTGCGCTACTGGCCCGGTCACGCATGGAAAGAGCTGACGCGAGGAGAGAGTGTGTGTCTGTCGCATTAGCAACCCAACGATTTGTGGCAGCCTCTCTGATAATGTTCATCTACTGTTCCACTATTCACCTGCGTAGTCAAAAACTTAAATAAACCAAAGTCCATCATTGCAGATAATCTCTTTCTGGGTCCAGGTTTTCCTTCAGTAATGACCAAGCAGGATACTGTCGCGTGTAAGGGGGTCCGCTTGGAGACAATAACGGGTTATAGGTCGGATGAATGGATTTATTGGATATTCACCAGTCGTAACTACAGTTAATACTTACACTCACAAAGTGGCCTCCGTAGTCTAGAGGTAACGTTCCCACCTCATGACTCGTAGTACGTGGGTTCAAATACCCGGCGGAGGTCGTCGAATTTTTAAGGGCGGAAAAATTCAGGGAACAAGTCCTCCGGGAGGGACTCTAAGCCGTGGGTCCCGTGTCGTAGCTTTACGGCACGTAAAAGAACCTCACACCTCAAAAGGAGGTCACTGAGCCAAAATTGCGGCCGTTTCCCGCCCAACAGCAGTCACTAATACCTCCGGTAGATGGGGAAAGCATTATAGATACTTCTCAGCCAGTAGAGCCGGTCTCGCTGGCTGGGCGGGACTGATGGTATGCACCAATACCGGTAGGATATAGAGACTGGTAGAAATCATAGAGGGAAGCACAATGAACCACTACAGGTCTAAGTGCATGGGGAAACCCACCCTCTCTAGTAACTAACTAACTAACTAACTACACTCACATGATTACCGTAACTATTACATACGAAATAACGTCTTCAGTATCTGCTAACAAATCAACTATTCAGCTGTCTTCTGAATTCTCCTCTTCCGAACTCTCAACTCAGCTCTCCTGGACTCTTTGTGGCTCTCTGTCTCTTCTAATCACACGCTAAGTCTTTACAGACCGACTTCTAATTGTTCATCAGAGTATGTGCCGTTCTGTTCCCATTCTATTGATTTAACTAAGCTAATTCAAAATCAGAGTCAAGGTTACCTTAAAACTGACTATTTACAACCAATCAGTTCATCTTGGCGCCAGGCCCCTTGATGCCCACGACCATACTACAACAAGTGCTTGTTATATAGGCTCAGCGCGACCCACACACAAAACATAGCCCCTCTATTCTTGCGTGCTATTCTGTTCGGGTTCCGGCGTGACCGCTACTTAGCCACTCTTTTGGTTGCTGGCTGCTGCCAAGCAATAGAATACACTCTTTCTATTCTGTTTGCGTATTTCCGGCGTGGGCTAGAGATGGACGTCCTTCTATTGTTGCGTGCACGTCGGTCGCGGGATGTTTACCGAGCCGTTGCCTAGCAATGCTTTGAAAAATCCTTCACAATACCCTCGAATCAGTTGCTTCAGCTACCATATTATCGAAAACATGATTTAGTGGTTAAAAGGTTAAAATGTAGAAACGTTCTGTTGTGACGTGGTTGATTGTAGAGGCACAGCAGGAGTTATTTAGAGAGGAATCGGTTACATTGGGATTGTTGGGAATTGATTCGAGCGTTTCAAGCTACTGTCTCCAAACTCGCAAAGGTACCGTGGCCAATTATGAAAACATGCAGAACGACAATTCATGTGGCTTGTATTTGGGAGACACAAGTTTCGTTTATCTGACCGGGTATCGACTGTGATGACTGAATTATTTCGCAATTTCTCGGACGTACTTCTGGTGAAATGTTTGAAATCAGTTTTTTTTTTTGCTATTGAAACTCAAACCAGCTTTCATCCTAGAAACACGTAGATTAGCAAAGTTATCGGTAGAGCGCTATGTCTTTAAACTTTACATAAAATGCTGTGGAAAGCTGCATGCTTATAATTCTCCCGTCGATGCTCAGTGGAAAATTCCTGCTCGTTAATTATAGAAATTGAACTGCATAGTTTCATTCATGGGACTTAAGTCGTATTGCTCTACATAAAACAGTAAACTCAAAATATATCCCCACAATTACTGTTTCTTTAATTTTGTCCATCGTCTGGTATTCTAGAAATAAAAAAAAAGTCTAGGAAAGTGCATCTTTTTCTGTCCTCAGGTGAGGTATTATACACCATTGTCAGAATCATTTAGAATCTGCAAATCATATTTGTTTTCGCCGAGATGCTAAATCCTTCATATTTGATGATTATTTATGCTCTGGAATGTTACAGGGTCTACTCCGGTAGAATTTTGCAGACGTTTCGGAACAACGCACTGCCTCAATTTTCAGGATCAAAGAACAAGCGAGAGAAGCAAGCAGCAAGCGATTTTTTTTTGTTTAATCTTAGATCATCAAGCTGGAACCAGTGCATTTCTCCGAAACGTCAATATACTTTTACCGGACTCCACGGTGTAAAATTTCAGAACAATCTTCATTTTCGCTTAGTGGGGGGTGGCCACTGATTGGCCTATTGTAGCCTGCCCCGGGTGATTATGATGATGGAGAATTTGGTGGAATGAAGTTTGTCAGGGGAAACCGAAGTACTCGGAGAAAACCCGCCCCAGCGCCACTTTATCCACCACAAATCCACTTTACCAGACCCGGAATCGAATCCGGGCCGCCGCGGTGGGAAGCCAGCGACTAACCGCTTGAACTATGGCGCGGCCTAACCCTCTTCATAGTTACCGCTTTGAGAAACTCAAGTCTCGCATCCCTAATTGCTACGAGTATATCTTCATACTACCTTTTATCATGCCGCTGTGAGGAAGGGCGGTATTACCTTAAATCCTTGCAGGTTGTCTACCACACAGGCTAGAAGAGCGTCACGACCAATGGTCACTGTCACATTGGGAATGGGTTCGGCAAAACGTGGCAACAGCGCCTCTGAAACAGAAGAAAGGGAAAGAAGGTGAAATCATCTTATTGGACGTGGAAGTCTTGGAGATGTCGCAGAGATAACGAAGGGGCAAGAACCAACTCAATTCAAACCTACGTGACATTCGTCTAAAGATTTAATTCTTATGGAGACGGCTCTAGCAAACTTATCAGCCCATCCATTTATCCGCTACTTAACCATGTTTCCGAAATGTCGAGTGCCCATCGGCCTTAATAACGGGCTTGAAAATTAAATTGAAAGGATTATGTAAGTTTCAATACATGAAAGAATGAACCTCTCCAGATGCAGAAACTAAGTGACGGAAAAATAAAACACGCGAGTTAATTTGAAGGTACAAGCTCATAAAGTTATCGGGGTAGCATAGTCGGTATAGAGACTAGATACGGGATAGTCGGATTTCGAATCCCGGTAAGGTCAAGAATTTTCTCTTCTCCAATCATCCAGACCGGTTCTACGGTTCACCAAACCTATACAGTGGATACCAGGGGCTCTTTCCTGGTGGTAAAGCGGCCGGAGCGTGAAGCTAACCATTAACATCCAACTAGTTCCGAGGACAAGAAAATGTGGATCTATACATCCACTCCCCATACCTCTTCTTGGCGTAAAGCTTAATTAGTTAAGCACAGGGACAACTTGACCGGCACACCAGTTTTGCGAGGTAAAGTAGGAGCATTTCTAGTTGTGATAATATCAACTTTCCTAACGTTAAGGAAAATATTGAGGTGCATGTGGAAGGATTCCTACTTGAAAGTTGTTTATATCACGAGGCTTCTATTTCGAATTGTTACACCATGTACAGTGACAGCTGCTCTGACCTTTCTCAACTTGTTATCAAAATACTACGAGATTGCCTACTATATGATTCAGCGTCTCAGCCGCGTACACAGAATTATATGCACGGATGTAAGGGGGATATCTGCTTGTCTTTGCTTCTCGGATACTGCTAATTTACATAAGGTTTACAAGAGATTAATTTTCCTTTAACGTACACGTTCACTACAATATCAGTCCTTCAGCTAGATGTGCTTCTTTTGTTAGTGTTTTATAAACTGCTGATACATTGACACTTTTCCGCGCAACTTTATTTCCTTTGTTAACATTTTGTAAGAATAATAACTTATTTAATTCGAGCTACTCCATAGTCAAATTTTTGTGCATTAAATTCTGCATATCACCAGACTTTTTATATACTTTATAAAGGATAAAAGGTTAAAGTAGTCTCTGTGCTTAATTACTTAAGAAACTAAACACTACGACATGAAGCCGTATGGGTGAGTGGACGTATAGCTCCACAATTCTTGGCCTCGGTACTAGATGGAGGTGTATGTTAGCTTCACGTCTCTGCCCCATTACCCCTGAGGAAATAGCGCTGGTATCCTTTAGATAGTAGGGGGTTGACCCCAGAGCTGGTCTGGACACAAAGGAGAAGAGAGAAATTAATACCGCTTCCAGGAATCGAACCACGACCGTCCAGCCCGTAGCCTATCACTGTACCTCGGCTCTCCTTTTACGTAGATTTAGATTTTATTATCGTGGTTTAGTTCTTTCTAACTTTAATATACGAGTTTTTGATCTATTAGACAGTGCTTGTCTTAATTAGCACCTTCACTTGCATCAAGTAATTTACTACATAATATATGCTTTTAAACGTATATTATAAAGGCATATTAAAGATTCTTCACGGTATGACATTTTATACTGGCACGTTCTTTTGAAAGTAGTATTTTGTGTGTTGCATATTATGACGTGTCGTAGGTGCCTCGTTTTTTTTTTTGTCTAAGAGTGCTGAAAGAACTACAAATTAAGTCCTCACTGAGACGGCTGCTGATGTTTACAGCTGATGCCAAGAGCTTATTTTTGTGCACAGCCATTGAATGGATGGATGAATTGATCAAGGATAAATATTAACCCAAATGTTTCTCTAAAGTTTAGATCAGAATGCAAACTATATTTCCCTCATTAGTATCCTTACAACACTAATAATTATTTCACCTGGGGTCACATACCAATTTAAGATCAATTTTAATATTGTCTTCCAAACTATATCCAAATTCCACAAGTGATCGGCCGTTTCCTTACACATGCTCCGACCGGTATTGTGCGTGAAATTCACGTGTCTTTAATACGTGGTGCATGCCCGGCCCTTCACATCCACCTTGGCTTTTCACTCTAATAACTCTGAAGTATACAGGCTATGGCAATTCATCATTGTACATAGCACTACGCCATGAAGGCGCATAAGGCGTGGGTGTATAGGTCAAGAAAGTTTGGATCTATATATCAACTCTCCATACGCCTTCATGGTTTAGTGCTTAATTNTTATGAAACCTCATCTGTTGGTGTAGCAGTCGCCAGCCCCAGTGTTGCTGTCAGAAGTGTCATGGAACAGGCAATTCTTTGTGGGTATCGCTGCAAGTCTAAATTCCCTCACTGGTTCTCCTATACCTTAAGGCATTACATCACCAAGAAAAAGTATTTCCACTGTCGTTTTAAAAATAATCCTTCTGATTACATTTATGACAGGTTCGCCTATTATCGAAAACTAGTTAAAATACCATCAAGTCCGACAGGCTTAGGTGGTTGAAGACAACTGATAACAAAGTCATCGCCCCAACATTTCTGGAAATACGTATCTAATTTCAGAAAACATAGATCCGGTTCCATTTATCTAGAAGTTGATGGTACACACCTAGTCCAGCCCGAAGCTGTTGCTGATGCATTCACTAAGCACGTTCAATCTGTTTACAGTAACCACTGCTCTAAGGACATTCACCCTCTCTCGCAAACTTCTGAATTTTATCCCTTGCCCCATTTCTGATGCTGATGTGTACAACGTCATCAAGAGACTAAAACCATCAAAATCTGTTGGGCTTGACGGTATTCCTGGTTTTATCATCAAAGATTGTGCAGGTATTTTTATTCCTATACTTAGGCATATATTTAACTTGATCCTGACGCAGCAGTATTTTCCTTCTGCATGGAAAGAATCTGCTGTTGTACCAGTATTTAAAAGAGGCAATCATGCCGCTGTGAGCAACTACAGGCCTATTTCTATTCTCAGGAATTTCTCTAAATTGTTTGAATTCATTATTCATGACCATGTTTCTCATTTCTCTAAATTTAAATCCAACCAACATGGCTTTACCAGAACTAAATCTACAGTTACCAATTTAGTGACGTTTCTCGACTTCTTGACGCGGTCAGCGTCAACCTGATGACGTTTATTTTCATCTTTCTAATGCTTTTGACCCCGACCCCCATAACATGCTCTTGCATAAATTAAGCTCCTTCGGATTCTCTGATGCCTATGTTAGCCGGTTTCGCAGTTACTTAACCAACAGACAATCTCGGGTTCGCGTTTCTGGCACTCTCTCCCTGCCTTTTCACGTAACGTCCGGTGTGCCGCAAGACTCTGTTCTGGGGCCTTTCCTTTTCAATGTATTTATAAATGACCTATGCGACTCTGTTAACTACAGTAAATTTCTAATTTTTGCCAATGATCTAAAAATTCTCCTCATTATTAACTCTCCTCATTATTAACTCTCCTCATGGTTGCCTCTTACTTCAATCTGACACTAATTCCTTAAGTGACTGGTGCACTGCTAACTCCATGAAACTTAATATTGCTAAAACGCATGTTGTATCATACACCAGAAAAACAAATTTTCTGAGCTACGATTATCAGCTTTG